GACTGTTCTAATTTAACTTACAAATGGCATCTTCATGGAGTATGTTTGGTCAAATTGTTCTTGAAATGGCTATATCAGGGGCGGGCAATTATTTCAGGCGGATAGCTGCTTACTGAGTTTTGGCAAGCCATTGAGGGCCACATGGGTAGCCTGACCCCTTGACAGGTGTCCCGCCCCCTGACCACCATCTTGGGACCAGAAGTCCCACCCTCTAACCTTTGCCACCAGAAATCCCTCTTCTTGCCCTCTGGAATTACTCCTTTCAGCAAGTGGTTTTGCCTTCTCTGAACCAGAAAAATATCAAATTATATTCTAAAAATCAAACATGGGAAATGGCAAGTGGGTATCCAGAGTGCAGCCACAGCTGTGTGGGAGTATGGGGCCCATGCCAGTGCACCGGGTCCAGACTACCAGGGGCTCTATACAGCTGGGCTGCGCTGTTCAAACAGGGAGAGGAGGGAGCCAACTCGGCTCCATAGAGCCCCTGCCAGCTTGGCCCCATGCTCCTGCCGCCCTACTCTGAGCCCTGCCAGCACTGGCCCCAGGACACTGGCATGGGTCCTGCACTCCTGCCTGGCTGTCGCTGCACTCTGCGTGCCTGCTCACTGCCCCTTTCCCCTGCCTGCTGCAGCTATTTCTCCACCCACCCACCGGCATCATGTGGTTACCTGCTGCTGTGCTGGGATTGCAGGAGCTGGCCGGGCTGGCCCTAAAGACTGGGGCAATTGCCCACAGTCCTCTCCTGTCTCCGCTCTCTGCACCCCGCCTGCTTTCTTACCTGTATTTCTCTTGGCACAGGGAGGCGGGAACAGTCCTAGGCCAGAAGCCTCCTCCTTCATCTCTGACGGGCAGCCAGGGACAGATAAATATTAATTTTCAAAAAAATTTCAGGAGCCTATGGGCCAGGTAGAAGGTCCTGGTGGGCCAGATGTGGGCCATATTTTGCCCAGCCCTGAGCTATATTGAACCTCCAAGCTGTGTTTGTTTGGGGTTTTTTGTGTGTGTGTTTGTTTGGGTTTTTTTTTTTTCCCCATTACACCCTAGAAAATTGAAATAAATTATAAACTACAAAGCATTTGAAACTGATCTGCCTGAGAACATGGAGACTTGCAGCACATCTCCTCTGCTAACATGGAGATCTGGGTGCATGCTTAACAATGGCAGCCAGACTCCTCCATCATAATATATATTTCTTGGTAAATGTGTAGGTAGTGTTTTTAGTTCATGTTTTGAAGCATGCAACAAATGTGAACACCTGATCCAGGTTTGCATGCTATGCAAATACTACCTTTGCGATTCCTGACTTTTTATATTAGGTTGCAGAGAGAGGCTGGTTGCAGATTTTAAAAGAAACTAAATGACCCCCCCCC